TGTGGTCAGTTAAATTTCAAGAATTCCGTCTCTATTGATTATTCTGTTACAAAATATTTCCAGTAAAATGACTTCAAAGATACATTATATACACTATCTAATTGTGGTAAGTTTCAACATTTCTTTGCCAATGTTGATCTGATTGCTAGAGAGTAGTCATTAGTCTAATCTGAGTAGGTATATGCCTATAAATACAGGTTAGCAAGTAGGTAACAAGTCCTTATTTCCTTCAACTCGGGGAACTAAGGAAGAACTTATCCTCGGTTCTCACCTAGAGAATTCTTCGGCTTAGAAATTAAAAATTAATTTTTCCCTACTTTATGCGTTTCTAGGTTTTTCAAATCAAGGAAACGGTTAATGAGCTTTTTCCCCAATTGTATGAGTGAAATCTGCTACTATCACGGTTACAATATAACATACAGTGATAACTATGCAGTGTATCTTATTTATGAAAATTTCAGTTGATTTGACGTTGTATATATACCGGTAAACAAAAAATGAAAACGGTAATTTTTAGATTAAAATTTTTTTAGTAGACATACGGAGAATAGTAATGTAGTAACATAGCATCACGGTTGTGGAGTTGAGCTGTGACACTTTGTGATACTTGTAAAGAACTATCATTCACGATATCTTCGTACGCCATCTTGGCACAAAGAATAAACGTGCCACTAAGCAGATTGGCCAACTATCACGTGACCTACCTGGTGCCAACGATAAGTTAGACTTTGACAGGTGGACGTAGACATAGTAGCGTTACCAAATCTGTTGTGTTCTACACTCTTAAATTTATTCAAAAACTAACTCGTTTACAAAATAAATCACAATGTGTAATTTATTTAAAATCAGAGCTGAATAAGTGTTTCATTAATAAATAAGAGAAATTTATCTTATAAAAATACCCCTACTTAAAAATTTAGGAGCAAAACCTGTTTTTACGCCTTTATGATATTTTAGCTCATAGTCAAACCTTGTCGCAAGTAACAGCAGTGCTGGCATAATTGCTTTACAAACACCAAACCAATTCGAGCTTTTTACTCATATTTCAAGACGTAATAAAATTAGATTTCCCAAAAAACTCTTTACATCCAACATTCAACATTTGTCACCATATTTTTATCAAACTTTATTTTTTACACTCCCTAAAAATTAGGTTAGAAAATTCAGTTTAAAAAAAAGGTTCTTCTATCAAGATATAAATAACAGAATATGGTTTGAATCTTATTACACTTTATTTACATATTTATTTACTAAATCCAGGTCAAACCCTGTTTTACATTAGTCCAAGATATTGAATAGAGGAACACTGTAAACTAACAACTTTTACAAATAAGGTTCATGATTTTTTAAATTATATATAAGCGATTATATATAAGCGATGGATCAAATTGGTTTTGAAGAAAAAGAAAGGCTGACAGGAGCAGTTGGGGTTGGGTTTTCAGAAGGGGAGGGGAGGGGTGAAAGGTGGAATACGTGACCAAATTGGCATAGACAGTTAATCTCCCAGGACAAAAAAAAATACTTTATTGTTTTACTCAAACTTATAACAATATCATAGTATGCAAAAATTAATTTTGAGTAATGAATCACTTTTGATTTGCATACAATGAAGTTTTATTTCATTTTTCTTTTTTTATAAACAAACTCGGTGAAGTTTTTGTACATTTTGAGTAAGAAATTGGCCCAAACTGGTACATTGTTATAAGTTTAGGCCAAAGAACAAAAATTATCTTTGATGATGAACCTTTTTATCCCTTTGTATTTTGATAGTGTTAAAACAAAGTTCACTTAAAAGAACGTCATTTGATACCTTGTATCATAGTATGAGTGGTTTATTTTTGTGTTTAACCTATTGACATGAAACTTAAGAGTACTAGTTATTTTGACAGCGGAGTAAAAACACACACTGAAGGACTGACTATAAACACTCATTGTGCTACTTGATGGATAAGATCTGTATTCTCAAATACTTAATCATATGAACACTTGGGTAAACAATTCACAAGATGGATCAAGCAGATTAAATCAAATAAACATAATATACCAAGATAATCAAATCAAATACTTAAACGTTATAGAGTGCTAAAAACTGTTTTCCTACAGTCACCCGACAAAGTTGGCTTCCCTGTACTGTTTATAGTACAGAAAGCTGCTAATTGCTGCATATTTATACTTTGCCGTACGGTTTATACTTTGCCGCACGGTTTATACTTTGCCGCACATCAGGATTCCAACCAAACAACACAAAACAGCGTGGTTTTATTATGCACGTAATCCGTGTACGCTTGGAAATAGGTTGGCAACACTTAAAGATAATAATACTATGAACAGCTGATTGACTATTATAACTACGATTTAACCTGTCATTTTGTGTTTATAGTTTTGGCATTTCTGAACTTTCTGGACTTTTCTTTTAAACGTTTTTAAAACATTCCTACGGTCTTAATAAACAAGAAAATACCTTTAAAGCATTTTTTTTAGGCGCGGAAACCACTTCAAATTACAAAAACATACGGAACTATATTCTCAAAAGACGGAGCACATTTCTTGCCGAGGAAAATAGCGGAGTGATACGGACCACGGGTACTACTTTCTCCAGGGCACCATTTGTGTAATTGTGTTGCTAGCTGAACCTAAAAACGTGTTGTATATTGTTTGAAAGACTAATTATTTATGTTTTATAGTGACTGTAGGAAAAATATAATGTGTAACACGAGTGAAAAAGGCCTTGGCTGCACTCGAGATCATTCCGCACGAGCCTGCGGCTCGTGCGTAAACATTGCTCTCGTGTGCAGCAAAGTGCCACTTTCACCACTAGTTACACAAATAACTATTTCTATAGAGGTACAAAATCACTCAAATAACGTAAGACTTTGGCAAATCTTATCTACTGCAACAGATGTTATTATGGTCTAAGGTGAACAAGGACCAAAGCAGGTCAGGGATTATGTACAGGAATGGCATAGCAAACTGTACTTTTGCTTGTACAACCAAACACATGTTACTACATATATTAGGCTATGTATATATTTAAATGCGTTGTGACTAAAGGTGTAAATGAACATTCAATCAGATCATCCTGGACATCAAAACACACTTTAGTGTTTATTTTTATAAATGAGTGTATGGTGAGTATAGAATCAAATGAAGGACATTTCAGGTTCCTTTGTTGCTGACTCAGATCAGCTGTTTTTTTCAATTGGAATTATTAATTAAACCACAATGATCAAGTACATACCATTGACTGAATAGTGCTGGTACATTTTGTAAAATCCGAAGCCTGTGTTTTATGTGTCTAGTTCATGTTGCTAACATTGATAATATAATGTTGACTATGTTTCTTTTAAATTTTAGGGTAAATTTTTTTATCTTTGCTAAAATAAAATTAGTTTATACATCAAAAATCCCCGCCACAGCAAGACTGCAGACTAAGCGAATTTCCAATTGCCTGATTTGATTTTCTCTTAAATCTATTTAAGTAACATTAGGTTTAATGAGTACCTAGGTTTGGAGCTACAAGAGGGTAATAAAGTGGGTTTTTTCTTTTTAAATATTAATAGCTTAGTATAAAATAAATAAATTTGCCAAGTTTGTTCAAAATCTATCCATAAACAAAACAAGCAAACTACAACACAATTTACTTATTCTCCATAAGAATAACATTTGAGCATTTTATATTTACATGTTTAACCTACAAAAACACTTAAAATAAACTAAATTATTTTTTTAAAGCTCTACATTATGGTTAAGAAAGCAATGCAAAATTTTACATTTGGAGGGTCAAAAATGGGAAAAACCAGTTTTTACCCCATAAATCCCCATTCCCATAGTCCAATCATGCTGGTTTGGTTAACAAGCTCTTTCAAATTTATCCCACCTTCTAGCCAAGTTTCATCTTATCTGCAATTATATCTATAGGATATGGTTTGATCAGAATAGTCACAAACTTTCTCAATATTAACGCTACTTTAAAAACAGCTAGCCTACCTTTGTGACTATTGTACTGCTTACACATTTTAAGCTAAGATGAGTGTTGATTGGAGTAGGATGGATGTTCTTTGTAGATTTGTTACTAGCCAAAATCATCTGCTTCTTTATTCAAGACCATTCAATAATAACAAACCAACAATCAAGCAACAACAGCTCAACCCAGTTTCAAACCATCAAAAAACTATACTGTCTTTTCTCAGAATCAAACCGGAGACCCTATGATTGTCAGCACTTTAACCACTCAGCCCCCTGCCATTTGTTTCCATCCATAGGTGAATATCAACTTGCAGATCAATTATGAGATTGAGAATGTTTAATGGTTGTCATATTTTATTATTATTCACTACAATATTATACAAAATATAAGGTCATTATAGGCTTATAGGGATTATGTTGTTTTGACAGACTTAGATGTGTTTGTTTCTAGAGTGCTAGCGCAGTTGTCAAAGGGAGGAATTTCAATTCTTTAATAACAATGTATCTTATTAAGATGATCATGGGACCTCCTACTTCTTTCTTCTGTATTTTGGACGAAGTTGTTGTACTGTTGACAACTATCCCCAAGTGCTCAAGAATCCAATGAGTAAAATCAGTGAAAATCTTTTTTTTTTCTGGCAGGACCAAACATTTATGAACTCCAGACGTGAGCCATCAAAAACAGTCCTTACAAATCTTCATTGTCCTCACATAAAAAGCACTCTAATGGAATTTGAACAATACTGTTTACAAATAAGTATAAACAAATTTTTCCTACAGGATGTAATCTTAATCAGTGTACTGTTTTGTGATGATAATTTTTCATTCTAGATACATAGAAAAAAAAAACAGTTTTCCTTAAAAAAAATTTTTCTTGCTGTAAAAGCATATTCTTGGTAGCACTAGCAGCCAAAGTTCTCAGAAGATGTCTCAAAATTCATCACTGGTATCCAGATTTAGCAGGAAAATCTGTAACAATAACGGACAACTCACACACACAAATCATCACACTGAAGTTAAAGTATTCGACTTACCTGCACAAGAGGCAGAGAGTATATGAACTATAGCTGTGTCGGGAGCGATTACAGAGTTGAGGAAACTTTTGGCCTGGGAATACGCACAGAAGTAAATGGCTCTGGAAGGGGCCACCCCGACTAGATTGGGTCCCAGCCCCTTGAATAAGGCCTTGGTGCCTTCATAGTGCACAATATGCCTGAATGGATAAAAAAACTATAGTTAGTAAATAGATAGTGTTGATAAATATATTGTATTAGTAGTTTTTGAAGAAATAAGGAGAAAGGTGATGAGGGTTGAGAAGTATGGAAAAACAATTTAATGGTCATTGGAATAAATTAAATGTTCTTAAACCAACCTTTGGTGGTGGAAGAAGTGGTAAACTAGTCACTATCTCAGCTAAAATAGCCTTGTAACATGTCATATACTAGGCCAATAGTTAGGTCTACGTATCGGGTGAAATATAATGAACAAGAAAACAAGTTGGAAAATAAGATTTGCAAGAGCTAATAGAGTTAAAAAAGGAAGGATGGAAGGATCAATGAAGGAAGCAGAAGAGGGGGAGTAGTAAAGCAAGACTGAGATGTGAGACAAAAGACAAGAGGGAATTCCTTGGAAAATGGAATTATTCATGATGACAGAATAGCGAAGACATATAGGAAACTGTGGAGGCATAGGAATAGATTGCTGCGCTGTTGATGCTCAAACCTCCCGAAATAATGGAAGAGGGCATATTCGGATGTAAAGAAGATGGTGCAAATTATTTTTTAAGTAAGCTACCTAATTCATCTAGTCTATGTGGAGTAACTGATCACACTAATTAAAAGTGGTCACTAATTAATAAATCAATTGTAATACAATGACTACTTTATTGCACTACCGTACCATTCTCATCTATGACTAGGCCTAAATAATATATTTAGGCTTACCGGTATTAAAATGTAATTATTTGTTGTATGTTTGAACTACGAACTAGGCCAAATATTATTAGTAGGGAATTATGTATAGCCTTCCTAACAACCCCAACTTAGGCTTAAGATCAACTTAGGCCTACTTAAAAGCTATTTTCACTAACCAAGTTATTTATTAAGTTAATAAAAATTCTCTCACCTTAGACACTGAATGAGGCCCATTGACTTCTGAGGTGGCGGCATCCCCTCATATTGAGAGATGGCCAGGAACTGTGTTGCATGGCGTGAAGTTACTGTGTTTATCCTCCGCCTCTGCGACGACATGATAGTTTTACACGTCCCTTGGCTGTTGCCTTCCATGGAAGCGATCTTGGGCACTTGCACATTGTGAATGTGGAAACCAGACGAAGACGATTGTAATCTTGTCTTTACTACTTCTAGCGGGCACGTCACAATTGCTCCCATCGTACCAGCCACCCTAGCCCACAACACCTCATTAGTGAAATTGTTACATAAAAATTGTTTTATCTACCAATTTATTCGCTATTAATTACATGAGGTGTTTTTATTGGTTAGGACGTTCGCTACTGCAATAGTACATAATTTTTCATTCATATGGACCAGCGACGCACATATGCGACAGCTGGTTTCTATCCATAGACTTCACAGTCACATTAAAATAGACTGACGTCGCATATTTGCGTCGGTGTCCCAATGTTATCAAAACGCTTATATCTTTGTAACAGTTTATTTGAAGGCACTTAATTCTCTGCAGTGGTCTACAGGAATGTCTGACACACAACTGGGTCGCTCGGTCAGTTGATATGATATTTGGTGACGTCATGATAGTTGGAAAAACTGTTCTTTACTTTGCTGCATCATTGTATGTTTGTATGCTGTATGTATGCTGCATTATCCCATGTAGCTTTTATATTTAGGCTATTCAATTATAAACTGTTCTTAAAAAATCTGTTCATTTTACTTACTTTCACCTAAAAACATAAACAAAAATGAACTGTCGCATATATATGCGCATATATTCTTATGCTATTTCAAGAAAAATATAATAATTTTCACTATTGTCTTTGCTATAGACCGGGTGTCGCAAATATGCGACATTACAAAACATTATTAAAAATATAAAACAACAAGAATCTATAATACGCTAGGCATATTTTTGTCAAAATTGTTTTGGAGCGGTGGTGCTACCGATCACCATGTCCAAGGTGTCGTTAGAAAGGTCTTAGCATGTAGTTTTGCCATCAAACAAAATAACTTTGGAATTACATCAGGGCTCTACCACACTGGCCTTCAAAGTTCCCATGTTATTCTCAGGGAGTAAATGTTTGTTTACATTTGAACAGATGAATACTTTGAATTTGACACTAATATTTGAAACAGCTGGTTATACTCAAATTTTACACAAAATCAAAATATAACCAAAAAACGTTCGACATAATGGAGACTAGACGTTGACCAGGACGGCCCTTAGGAGGAGGCCGACGAAATTTATCTGGTAGACACGAACGAAACACAAATAATACTATTGTCATTGATAGCCGAATACAGCAAGCACCCTTCCGTGTTGGGTTTAAATGTGCTCTCCAACAGCCGCCTGAAGATTTCACATTTAATTTAGGACTGTTGGATAACCACTGCATAAGCTGTCTTGATTTTTTAAGACAAGGAATAGGGTAGGACTACATCGGAAACAGAAGAGAGGAGATATTAGATGAGTGGCAAATGCGTTGGGAGCAGAGTGTTTTATGTTAACGTTTTAAAGGTAAACGCTCTGATATATACCTAACATCAGAAAGAGACTGGAACAAGATTGGTAGATGGGCCATTATGAAACGCAGTTTATAACAGGACATGGAAAATTTTAAGGCGAATTTGTGAAGATTTCACATGGTGGAAGAGGAAGTATGTAGATGTGGAGAAATAAAAACCACGAGTCACGTATTTATAAATTGTTCACTTCAGGAGACAAATAGGAGAGAACCTGAATAAGTTTTGGATAAGATAGGTCTAGAGATGAGAAAATAAAACATGATGAGTGACAAGGAAACAATTGGAGACGTTTAGAAAAGTTGCTAGGGAAATAGGAAAAACCAGGAATACATACAGGCATATAATAAAAAAAGAAACAAACAAAAACTAAGAAAGAAAAGTAATGAAAACTTGCACATGAAGGGGAGAGGAAAGGTTAGAGCGAATCTCAAGGATCCCTATCGCTCAGGGCGGTATGGGGAAGGGAGTCAAGCTGTTAGGCATTTGGACAAATAAGGAATGTGTCTGGAAACCTAATGCGGCTATGAGTAAGGCTATTTGTAGAAAACACTATACCCAATAGAATGTTGATTATATTGATCTGTTATGTACATCTTGAGTATTTCCATAATCTTTGAGTCGAATATTTTAAAGTCATCAGAAATTATGACTGTTATTCGATTTAAAATAACGCCTGTAGGCCTTATACTTAGCAAGTGCTCGAATTCGAGCAACAGGTACACTAGTATATTATTTACAAACAAGATTGCAGAGTATTACAAAGTAAATAATCACTGTTTAACAGGTTTTTGCCCGTGGTCTGCGTGTACTGTTAACCAAGTGACAGCCAGTCTATGAGCAAGATAAAAAAATGTTATACGTCGGTCCGTGGCAATGATCGCGGAATTGCTCGTAACGAACGTGTTAGGTACCGGTACATAATATGTGGCTGGATAAAATAATCCGACTAATTTATTTAGAAGGCTTCTCATCTCTAGTCATAGGAACCGGTACCGTAGGCCTAGTTTTGAGTAATGATACGACTCAAGAGGAGTGGCTAGACCAGTTGGCAGGATTTATTTGCTAGTTTATCCAAAGAGGTTGATAACCTACTAAAATACATCCAACTATTTAGGTTGAGGGATTCAAATATGAAATGTGAAATGGTTAACAAGTCTATCACAATGCCGGCTCAGTCACAGTGTCAAAACTGGCATGATCTTCTAGTTATTACTGTCAGCTGATATGTTTTTTCAGCTTGCCTGTTATGGCCCAGTAAATTTTACTGGGTATTTTAGTTGGTACCTATTGTTTAGTTTTACAACTGACATGTAAGTGTAACATTTACGTAGCTTCATACATAGGCTATGTTTAATTTTTGCTTGCCTTTCTCAACAAGACTTTGAACAAAAAAATCACAAATCAAAGCAACAAAGCTACAAAGCCTTGCCCGGGATGGGGTAGGTAGCATAAGTTATGTTTGTCTATCCCATTTACTAACATTTACGACAATGATTTTTTCCGTTATAAGTGTTATAAAAATACATAGGCAATAGTTAAGTTTTGAATCTACTTCTATAACTTAAATAGGCCTAGGTTTTAATTTATTTATTTGTAAACACAAAAAGAATATAATACCCCCGCCGCAGCAAACCTGCAGACTAAGCGAATTTCCATTTGACTGATTGGATTTACACTGAAATGTCTACTTAAAAATATAACATTTATTCCCGATTTAAATAGAATTAGTTAAACAAGTACTTAGGTTTGCTGCATCAGGGAGGGTAAAATTTTTTTTTTTGTAAAATGTTAATAGTTAGTAAGAAATAAAAACATTTTCCAAATTTGATCAAAATATGTTCATAAACAAGCAAACTACAACAGTTTACTTATTCTCCATAAGAATAACATGGGAATTTTAAATTTACAATTTTTTGGAATTTTCTCTGTAACCGTTAGGCGCACAATATCGCTTCAATATACTAAATTATTTGTTTTTTTAAGCTCTACAAAATGGTTTGGAAATAAATTGCAAAATTTTAAGTTTTTTGGGTCAAAAATGGGAAAAACCTATTTTTACCCCATAAAACCCCCCGTAAACACCCGTTCCCATGGTCCGATCATGCTGGATCGCGAACTCGTTCGAATAAACGTAGGTTTACACGTTTGTACCAAATTTCATCAAAATCGGATCATTTTTGCTTGAGTTATCGTGCTGACGGACATATATATATATATATATAAATATATAAATATATATATATATATGAATTTGAACGGATGGTGTTTTTGGCCTCTAGGGACCTCAAAACGAAAAAAAAATTGGTCCCACGTCCAGGTCTTACCATGAGTACTACGGTTAATAGCTTATTCCCTATATGGGAAATTCGCTAAAAACTAGCTGTGAAATGGCAAAAGATTAGTCCTTAATCAGCAGATTAGCCCTTAAAGCCGCGTTTACAAAGAAGTTTCAAACAAAAAGTCAAACTTTCGACCTTGATTATGACTCGCCTATGTTCTGGTTCCTGGGATCAGTACTTCCAAGGATGTCAAGTGTCAGGATATCATTATGAATGAAATGTCATTCCATACGTAGTTATTCATGATTTTATTTATGTAATCGGAAATAGTTTGGTTCCACAGAACTTGCTGATCTCTGTACTGTATATGCTAATTAACTTTAGAATGTTGTCATCTACCCACTCCATCTCATTCAGTTAATTTTCCATTGTCACTCACCACTGATCACTCACAACACGCACGAGAGAACTACTATTGAATTGAAGAAAATATACAAATCTGATGGTATTAGGCCTATTAGATGTATTTTAATCTACTGATCATTTTGATACCAAATTTGATTTGAATATAGCCTATGATTTTTATGACCTTATAAAATAAGGCACAATATTAGATAATAACAAAAATAGCTTCAATTTTGGTATAAAAATGATCAGTACCTAGCTTAAAATACATCCGATCCATTCATACCATCAGATTTGTAGGCTATATTTTCTTCAATTAAGAGATATTGCCCAGAGATAGGTGAGCTACAGAAGTATGGCTCACTAGCCAGGCCACCGGCTGCCCGACAGCTCCAAGAAGGCACAATAGACTCAAGGGATAAGACTTTAGTGCGGTTGACTGGTTCACCCCTGGTTCTGCCTCACTCTGGCTTGCAACTCAGTAGGCCTATTGCAGTCCAGACAGGGTGATGACCCTTGAGTCGAGACACGGGGCAGCGTAGGGTGGTTACGTGGATGACTCGTAAGAGCGTAGACGTGGCAGCGTCGGGGAAATGTTTCTGTTTCGTGTTTCAACGGCACAAAGTGACCGAAACCAGCGGTACAAACAAAAGTTTGCAACTGCCTTAGATCTGTAGGCCTACCGGAGTTTCAAACAAAAAATTGCAAACAGCAGTTGCAAACAGTAGTTTCAAATAAATACCGTATTGCAATTTTTATTTCATGATTTGTTTCCATGTTTCATGAAAATGTTTGAAATAATTTCGACCTTGATTAGGCTATGACTCGCCTCGTTCTGATTCTTCGGATCAGTCCTTCCGAGGATGTCAAGTGTCGAGGATGTTATTTGTTGATTGTTATTTATGTTGATAGCCGCGGCGGCGTGTGTCGTGTTGTCAAAGCAACGTAGGTCGAGACGATGCTGGGTGAACATCGGTGATTGTATAAATCATTAAATTAAAATTATTATTTATTTTTAAAGATTACAAGGACTTAATTATAACCCTTTTAATTCACATGAGACGTTATTGTTATTTTTAAATTAGATGACCATCATTTGAGGTTAATGTTAATTCATCGACAGTCAAACAGCATTTTTCCGATTGATTTAACACTGAGTCCAGACACAGGGTGGTGCAAGTGATCACGTGAGTGAGAGTGGAGGTTGTAGCGTAGGGGATGGCGGAGAAATGTTTGTTTCGTATTTCAACGGCTCATATTGACCGAAACTAGTGTTGCAAACAAAGAGTTTGCAACTCCCTTTAATGTTTTTACCGACTTGTCTCTGTGTTTTTGTTGTGGAAACAAAAATGTCTGTTGCAAACACTGAAAAACCGTTTGCAACAGCAAAATGTTTTGTCTAAAAATGTACGTTTTTAGAGATGTTTGCAATTTCTGTTTGCAACTTGTGTTTCAAACTCGTGTGTAAACACGGCTTAAGAGTCCTTGGAGCATAGGTGTTCTAACTCATAACAATAAAAATCTACAAAGAAAATTCCTAACCCCTCAGGGCAGTAGATATTTAAAGTAGCCGAAGCCTACAATCACTTTGGTATTCGTAAAAATATTTTGAGATGGTATTTCTTTTGTTGAGCAAATCCAAGATGGTTGTTAGCTTCCATAAACTCCCTTGGAAAACTCAAACTAAATTTAAAATATACTATCTCACAGTGCCCTATAGATATTTAAATTATAGGCTACCCACTTTGGAGTCTCAAAAAATATTTTTGGATGATAAGTAAATAAATCTTCAGCAGCTGTTAGAAATTATCAAAGATGGCTGCTAGACTCCAAAGAATCTTAAGTTAGGAGGTCGTTCAGGGGTGTTGTGAATGTGGCATGAAATCAAACGAGTCTAACAAACCAATCATGACAGAACCCTACGACCCTACATTTTATAGATTTTGAAGAGAAACTGACGTAATGTCAAGCCGTATTTACACCGAAGTTTGAAACACAAGTTGCATACAGAAATTGCAAACATCTATAAAAAAGAGCATTTTTAGACGAAACATTTTGCAGTTGCAAACAGTTTTTCAGTGTTTATAACAGAAATTGTTGTTGTTTAGAGAAAAAGGAGTTGTTGTGTTTTCTAACTTACAACACTGCTTTAATTTGACTATGGAGAATATCACAGGATTAAGCTTTAGGGTAAAACACGCAATTCACTTTTGCTTCTAAAATCAACTAACCTGTAACCAGTGCTCGCTTTGCAACAAAAGACAGCGGAATCGTGCTCCGGTACCTTTCTTTTGGAAAGAAAAAAATTTATTCACGTTGAAGCCTTCCGGAATTGGTAATTGGTACCGTACCTTGACGTCCACAATTCCTCTGTCGAACTTCTAGTTATATAGTTAGGCCTATATATAGACTAGTTATATTTTTAACATTCTGTTTCTTATTCTGTAAGTACATTAAGGTATTCTGTTACCATAACATAATTTTATGTTGTGAAGAGAATTGAACCTTCATTTGATTTTTTTCATTATGTACCGGTATCAGCAAGTCTGGTTGGTTAGGTAAGGTTATGACAGTAACTGCCGGACGCCTAATCCACGTCCTGATACCGGACGCGTATCCTCTGTGTATAATAAAACATCAGTCAATCAGTCATCGGTGCGAGGTTAACCAAGTTGTTTACAAATACGCACGTCAGCTGTCTGCTACAATATTTTCGGAACTAAAATGAAAAGCGTCTAGAAACAGACATCAGGAGAAAGCTCAGAATCTGCCGAAAACAACGATACCAATCACAACCCAGTTCAATCTGATTCAGTCAGTCCCAGAGCCTTCGCCGTAAACGATGTTTTTGTGTCGCAAAAGTGACGCATAACACCGCGGCGGGTGTGTTGTGAGTCGATTAAGCGACGCTTAACATTCGGAGGGTTAATCAATATCTTTAATTTGATAGTTTTAATTGATATGTAGCCCAGATAAGAAACTGTACCCAAACGGATCAATAAAGCCAACTTGTAAGTTAAACTTATAGGTCTCATATCTTTGGCATAAATAAAATAAAAAGCTTGAATAAAGGCCTAGCTTAATATAAATATTTGGGCACTTAAATTATTGTTCTTATAAGAACTGAATTTCCTATTCAGTATAAGGAAAATTGGGGCCAATTGAAAGGCCAATCAATTAACTTAATCACTAAAATGTTATGGTTGACCACATAGGCCTAATAAAGCTCTAACCTAGGTTAGGTCTTTATTCTGTGAATTGGGAACTAACATAGGTAAAAGTCAACACTTACCCTCCTGCCACAAGATGGATCATCGTGTCCCTTGGAGATTGGGCCATTTTACCAATTTCACTTTACACTCACTTCACTAACTTAATTTACATTTCAAACGCCAATATTAATAACAGGAATTTCTCCTTCCCTTGGCTGTTAAAGTTTGTTTATAAACAAATCAATAGCCAACTACCTTGGGTCTAGTCTAGTGTTCTAATTTAGATTTGAAATACGGTATTTCAAATACCAAACAGACGATTGTTCCAGACAGGAGATCCAAATATGCTAGGCTAGGCCTAGGCTATGTCAATTCACTGAAATTCTTAACAACTCAACAAGAACGAACTAACTTAAACACAAAGTTAGCGTTAAACGAACGACAAAATTTCGCAAACGATATGCTCATTGATCAAGGTTCGGCCAAAACTGAACTAGTGAGTTACTGACTGAATTGGTTTTCTACAACTACAACGCAATAACATAAACACATACACAAACACCGAAACACTGGACCGGCGCAAACAACCACTCCCTTCCACTTCCACTCCACTGACTGTCTGAGTCTGACACAGACACAGACCAGACACACTGCCACTGCACTGAACTGACTGAACTGAGACTAGACTAGAGGAGACGAGACTGACTAGTGAGTAGTGACCACTGTAGTGACTACTGACAGTGACAGTGCAGTGACGGACTGAGTGGACTGACTCAGTCAGAGTCACAAACTGACCGGATTACGGGTTGAGTTCCTGCAAGGCTCTCAAAGGTTGTTCCACGACGTAGGCTTAACGTCACGATTTCATGACGTTCACACTTTCCACTTCCATTCCTTGTCCATTTTAGTGGTTCTGAGGTCGATTCACGTTATCTCAGTTACGGCACGTTGCAGTCCAGTCACTTCAGGCACGTCACAATTATCAAAAATATTGTTTAATGGATTTTCTATAGCGCTATCTACACTCACCCGTTGCAGTTCCGTCAGTAAGTCATGTCACTTATGGAATCATCTTATGGGGACATTGTCCAAGTGTTAGTAAATTTTTGAGCGGAGCGAGCGAAGCTCTTATACGTAGACTTTTATGCACTTCGTAATACGCAAACTCCTCCTAGACGGCTGAATCAATCGTTTTCAAATTTTGCATGGTGATAAAGACCATATCGGTGAGTGTCAACATCTATATGGAGTTAAAAAAGTCTCTCAGGAATCCGCCCCACTGGGTCTCAAAGTTTCAATGTAATCCTTATGGCAGGGCTGCGTTAAGGGTCAGTGGAGCCCTGGGCAAACCCAAGAGCAGCGCCCCCCTTTTTTCCTAGTGCTGGCAGGTGGTGGTTTGGGGGCTCCCAGTGGGCGCCCCCAAACCACCAGCGCCCCTGGGCATATGCCCAGTCTGCCCGTTTATAAAAGTGGGCCTGCCTTATGGAAGCAGTATTTGACACATAAACAAAGACATATGATCAGCTGTTGACTTTTGAATGCAGTAAATAAATAAATAGCTGATAGCATTATTCCATAGATATTAGAACATAAACGGTGGTATGGATCATAAATATAATCAAATGACGACACTAGCTTGAGGTCCGTGACGTAGGAAGTGGTGAAGGAAGTAGTAAAGGTGAGCAGTCTGGAGTGTGGAAACTGTTTAAGACGATTAGATTTAGGTAGGTATCTGCATTCCTAAAATTCTATGGGAAGGGAGGAAAACGGGTCCGCGACGTAGGAAGTGGTGAAGGAAGTAGTCAAGGCGAGCTGTCCGGAGTGTGGGAACTGTTTATGACCATTAGATTAAGGTATTTGCAATCCTAAAATGCTATGGGAAGGGAGGAAAACAGGTCCGCGACGTAGGAAATGGTGAAGGAAATAGTCGAGGCGAGCTGTCCGGAGTGTAGGGACACTGATTATGACTATTAGATTAAGGTATCTACAATCCTATATGGGACGGGAGGAAAACAGGTCCGCGATGTACGAAGTGGTGAAGAAAGTAGTCAAGTCAAGGCGAGCTGCCTGGAGTGTGGGATCTGTTTATGACAAATAGATTAAGGTATTTGCATTCCAATAATGCTAAGGGAAGGGAGGTAAACAGGTCCGTGACGTAGGAAGTGATGAAGGAAGCAGTAAAGGCGAGTTTTTCGGAGTGTGGGAACTGTTTATGACGATTAGATTAGGTATCTTGGTATCTACAATCTTAAAATTCTATGGGAAGAGAGGGAAACAGGTCTGCGACGTAAGAAAGAGGTGAAGGAAGTAGTAAGGTGAGCAGTGTGGAGTGTGGGAACTGGAAACCGTTTGTATCAGTTAGATTAATGTATCTGTAATTGCTGAAATGCTATGAGAAGGGATGGAAGCATGCCCACAACATAGAAAATGGTGAAAGAAGTAGTAAAGGCTAGCAGTGCGGAGTGTGGGGAATGTTTGAGGCAATTAGATTAACGTATCTAAAATACTAAAATGCTATAGAAAGTGATGAAAACAGGTCCACGATGTAGGAAGTGGCTTAGGAAGTAGTAAAGTATGAACATAACCGTCTGTGGCAGTTAGATTAATGTATCTTCATCCTAAAATGCTATGAGAAGGGAAGGAAACAGGCCCCACGACGTAGGAAGTGGTGAAGGAAGTAGTAAAGGCTGGCAGTGCAGAGTGAGGGAACCTTTTGGGCAGTTAGATAAATGTATCTAATACTTAAATGCTTTGAGAAGGGAAGGAAACAGGTCTATGACGTAGGAAATGGTGAAGGTGAAGGAAGTAGTAAGGCTTGCAGTGCAGAGTGTGGGAACTGTCTTTGGCAATTACATTAATGTATCTGCAATCCTAAAATGCCACGGGAAGAGAGGGAAACAGGTCCACGACGTTGGGGGTGGTGAAGGAAGTAGTAAAGGTGGGCAGTGTTGAGTGTGGGAATGGATTAATGTATCTGCAATGCTAAAATGCTATGGGAAGAGACTGTAGACTGTAGGTCAAAATGATTATGAAGCACGAATCGTTACATATTTCGATACGTATTCAATCGTTTACATTAGAAATTTACAACTATGTTGACAACAGCTGAGTTTTACTCCATAGAGGCTATATTTCATTCCCTAAAGAGTAAAAATGCTACTTTAGACCCGCAACGCATGCACCAATGACGACTGCTTTTACTGCAGTATGACAAAAACAATATAATATGAACCCTTGATGACTCCGCTCAATTATGTGGATGCATCTGCGAACGCCACCTAGTTATTACTGCAGAAGAAAGCAATTAGAGTCATTTCAAATGCTGGTTGGCTTGATCATTGCAGGCCGCTTTTCATAGAGAAAGGGGTCCTAACCTGTATATAGTCTATACATATTTCATTGTGTTGTTGCTATAAAAGGAAAGAAATGGTTTATTTACATCCGTTGGTGAAGTTCATGAGCATAATACAAGGTCAAATAGAATTTTTTTTTATCCCAGAACTAGGCTTGGAAATACTTGGAAATCTTTCCCTGTTTCAGGTATACGTTTTTTAACAAGCTGCCTGTCACCGTCAGAAACCTCCCCCTTCCTAAATTTACTCAGGTTATGAAGTCTTGGTTCATTCTGCATCCTTTTTACCACACTAATGAACTTAACAACACCAACCTCAACACCTTTTCTGTCCTATTAAACCCCTAACTGCTGTATCTTCCATCCTGACCAAATCAGGTGTTCATATTTATATTTTTTCTTCATTCTTATGTAAGTTTGTGAAGCACTTGCATTGTGAATTTGCATTGTTCTAGTTATAAGCATGACGAAGCCTATTGTATTTATTGTAAATATTTAACGGCAAATAAATCTTTGAATCTTTGAGTAGCTCTTCAGGTGTCGAGGTGTCCGTCAGTCAGTTTCAGATTTCTTTTTACCGATATTTTTGGATCGTTCGGACGCCTGACGGACGTTTTTGAGGTTAGAAAATTGTACTATTTTTAATTAAATGATCGATTTTACATTTTAAGTAATGCTGAACGATCAAAATTTGATAGAATATATTTGTGTTTGTGTTGTAATTTAACATTTTTGACTTTAACTACACTGGGTAAATAAAGTGACGATAGAGTGACTGCAACCACATGACTGACAGTTTTGTTTGAGGACTGAGAAATTGCGGATGCAACTGTGACTGGCCTGTAACTGGACTGTGACTGGACTCGGACTGATATGTGTGTGAATCGACTTTAATGGTTTCGATTTCAGAACGGATACGGATACGCTACTGAACGCAAGCAAGTGACACAAGTGCAAGTTGGCAGTTTCAAAGTTGCAAGGTTGACAGTATTTTGTTAATTATTACAGTACAGTAGTACTTAATGAAGCCCCATTTGCTTAAGCTGGCGGCAAACAGCCGTTTTCTGGACTAAATTATTGAGTGGGAGGCTCATTAAAACTGTATAGCGTTGGGTAAAATATTTTAATTTAATTAATTTAATTGACTTTTGGTTTCTGAAGCAAAAGATCGGAAAGCTGGAATATGGGAAACGTGCCATCAGTCATCCCTATGGAACGTCCTTTGAGCCTTATTGCGGGAACTCGACCCATCGGATCACAGTCGAGCAGGACAGGATAGAATGTAAGCTGTGGGGCATACGGGAGGGACTATGGCTGAGGGCATGACGTAATATCTCTAAGGCCGGGTCCGGTGTCACACGTAGCTACTTTGCTCGCCGATACTAGGGAGGGATATCCCTAGTAGGGATGTGCTAAACTGTTTTTCGCGCTGAACTGTTTAGCTGTAAACAGTTGCCAGCGCTTATTTATTTAATTTACAACCTGTTCAACAAAAATAGAACAATAAGCAAATATGTTAAAATTTAAATACAGTTAGTCATCCTCTATCCAACAATAAAGCTAACACACAAACTTTGCATATTTTGGTACAAAGTTTAAAGTTCATAAATTCCTAAAAACGCAAACTTCCAAAAAAAGTCCACAAAAGTCCAAAACATGGCATCTCTTCAATCTATGTTTATTTATATACTTTATACTTTACGATCAACCCATTTTAACAAGATCATAAATACAACAGAGATGGTTCAATGTTCAATATAAGTTAAGTAGGTGGGCCTGTAGGGCATTGACAAAAATAATTACGCGTAGTAAAAATAATTACCAAGAAACTTTACTATTTTCAACATTAATCATAGCTTGCAAATAAGTTAGTATTTAGAATCAAAAACAATTAATTGATAATGTTTCAAAATAATTTTACACAGTTTTTAACGTTCAATAACTTGAATAATTTGAAGTCCATCAAATAACGGATAACCCCAAATAAATAGCATGGTTAGGTTAGAATAAATTGAATTGAATTTAACAGCATCCCACCAACCGATCACTTGGCCAACCTAACAACACAAAACACCGAAAACAAACCAGCAAAAACAGTGGCACGTTTTTCTCTACATATTCAACCATCAGAGGGTACTGACTCCGACTCCAGTTTATAATCTATTTATCTCAATGTTTGCTTGCCTGGTCAGCATTAAACGCATGTCTGTTGGATATCTCAAATTTATGAGCCCATTTAAA